AATCCTGGCTGAAGAGCCACTGCAAGTCAATGTTTGTAACAGTGGACCAAACACTCCTGTCTCCCTTCTGCTGAGGAGTGCTTGGTCCACTGTTACAAACATTGACTTGCAGTGGCTCTTCAGCCAGGATTCCCCCTCCCCCTCTTTCCCTGCCTGGAGCTATCAGGGACTGAATCCACCTTTAGCGCAACACTCAGCAGGTGCTCGGCTAAGCCTCCGCCTCCGGATCCTGCTATCATTTGTGTAGGCAAGGTTTTGTTCTCAGCAACCAGATGCCCCCGGAAGACTCCAGACAAGAGATGTCATTCCTGGCTGCATCCAAGAGCTGCTTCTCAAAGATCTCTTGGAGACCCGAGTTGACTACCTTGGCATTTTAGTCATTGAAAGACTTTGTCTAAGCCAGCTTTACCTGACTCGGATCACTCCATATGGTGGTTCATGGCCACAGAAAATGGAAGTTGTGTTCAAATAATCTAAGACAACTGGCCAAGGTTTGAGAAGGCAGGAATTCTTTAGAAAATTCCTAGCGGCAGTACAAGCAATATGGTGAATTTATTGTTTTTCCATTAATGTACATTCTCTGAGGTGTGTTGTAAAACAGCTGTCCATGAACTTTTGATGAAACTAATCATGTAAGTACTATAATGAGACAGCTGGCAGCTACTTTTCAAGAACTTAAAAAATTAGCAGAGATGGGATGAAAAAACATGCAGTATAAATACCAAAAAAGGAAATGTTTTATTATTTAGTTCCAAATATTACATGCACTTTCAAAAATTAAAACTCTTAAACATTTTCAATAGCTTATCAGTTTTGAGGCAGCAAAGGATATCAGAGACATATTTTGAAAAAGCATTTACAAAAATACATTGCACAAAGTCCTATCTTGTTTTTTTAAAAAATAAGTTAGTGTTATGCAAAAATTCCCCACTCCCTCAGCTATCCCAATTTGGGTCTATACAAGATAATTCTGCTTTATACATTTAACCTACAATTTATGAAACACCTGTACAGGCTTTTAGACAGTTCTTGTGATTAGCTGTAAGTTCTATTTCTAGCTGAACTTAGATAAACAAATAGCCTTCTGGAAATAAAAACTCTTTTTATAAATATTTGAGGACTCTTGTGCAACATACATGAACTCTATTCAGAAAACCAGTCAGCACCATCTTGTCTTTTCCCAAAGAATAGAAACAAATATTTTATTTTGATCCTCTCAAAAAGCAGGACAAAATAAAATGTCCATTCACCTCTGTTTTAAGGAATCTTTCTTCTAAGGAGTTTTCTAATGTATTTGAATTTTTTTTAAAGGATGCGAGATGTATGGGGAGAGTTAGTGTCAGGGAAATTCCTTTATCCCCCAAATGTTCTAGTGAAGCTTCAGATCTTGAAAGTTGTTACTGTGTTTGCACATTTTTTAAAATATAAGCAGACATCATTTTTCATGAACTGATTTGAAAATTGTGCTAAGTTTTCTACATATTCAGTCTATAGAGTTTTTTCTGGATTTCCAGGAATTGGCAGCAACCTCAGAATATTTCAACAGAACTTTGGGCAGATTATGAGAAATGGTTTGTAAATACGTTCTGGACATGGATTTTGCTTGCAAGATGCCTCATCTGAGATGGAGCATTTCTAGCCTCTTCTAAGTCTCATTCCGCTTCTACATTTCCTTTTCCATTATCTTCAACTTCACAGCATCTATGCATTTCAGTCTTCCTATTCCACTTAAAAGTCATTTCTTAATGTCACTTTCTCATCCTCCACCTGACCTATACCTTTGCCTGACTTCATAATAAAACAAATAGATATCCAAGGCTATATATTAATTAATTAATCAATCCCTCTTAGATACTGTGACTGACTATTATTTTGCTAAAGGAAATTTTCAAAAATCATTATTTTTCTACACAGTAAAAAATAATTCTGGTCTATGACCAGTTTTATTTTAATGGATTTTAGTTCCATTCTTTTCTTGCCAACTTGAACACTGGAACAAAAATATTCTTACCAAGTAAGTATTTTTCGGAGATGTGCTAAATCCAGATTTTGGGGGAAAAAGAAAAAAAAAGTGAAAACACATCAGGGGAAGTCGAAAACCAATCCTCGGGAGCGCAGTGAGAAATTTATGAACCACATGAAATGGATTTAGGATGGAAAATTATGCCCAAAATGTTTTATAGAAGTAATGCACCACACCACTGGTATCACACAGTTTCCACTGTTTCAAGACATCTCAAAAATACAAGCGAATTTCACTGAAGTTATTTAACTGCATAACCGTTTGGCATTAACAGATTGCATCCAGGGTCATTTTTTGATCACCTACAGATTTGAAGGCAAGCCCCAATATTAAAAGCGGATTCCTAGCTGCCAAAAAAAGTTTTTAAAAGCTTTATATTCTGAAGTAATAAAATAAGTAATATTGGTGCACTAACTGAATTTTGTGAACAAGGGCAGTTGGCATGCAATATTTTTTCTGAGAATGAACACACGCACAAAAAATAATATAAAGCTGTCTGGCAGTTGCAAACTGAGCATCTGAGCAAAATAACTGTTGGTTTTGGTATACAATTCTGTTGGCAGTCTGCTATTTTGTCTAGGAAGAATACCGGACCTGCAGGACATCACACATCCTCATTTTTTTAAGGATTCCAGTGTTCCAGGCTTTCCCTTTATATACATATAGACAGAGAAAATGTACAAGAAGTAGGAAAGCGTACATAGTTTTCATTCAGCAGGTCTCCCATGCACTCTGAACCGATAGAGGCACGTATACTCTGTATGGCCCCAGTTGGAAAATATTCTTAGCTCTACTATCTGGAATGCTTTTTCAGTTGTCTTCTAAGAAGAAAACAAACAAAAATCAGTAAGTAGTTAGAAATTACTAACGTCTGTAGCATAAGCCGTATTTTCGTATCAGCGAAGTGGAGTGGAACATTTTCGACACCATCAACAGCTGTGTTCATCCACAGTTGCCTGGGATGTTGTATCACATTCATGTTTGATGGTCTAAATATAGGATAATGTTGTATCACAATCATTCATGTTTGATGGTCTAAATATAGGATATGGGCTTATTTCAGTTATTCTTACAAGGCAGCAGTTCTCAGCCTTAGGTAATCTGGATGTTCTTGAACTGCAAGGCCAACAAACCCCCAGCTTGCAGTCCAAGAACACCTGGGTGACCCAAGGTTGGGAATCATTGTTTTAAAGCAAGCACTGACAACCCCTGGAGCTTAGTTGCCTATGAGATCGGGATCAGACATAAATGGTGTATCTTATCTCTGTTATTAACATCCTTCAATAAACCCAACATGCTAAATCAGGTATTATTTAGTTCTACTACATTTCGATATGCAACCAGGGCCAGGCTCAGCACTTGTAATTCCCATGGGCGCCTGTGGGAATATGACTCTCCCATTCAGATATATTAGAGGTAAGTGCTGTTTAGCTTTGGCTAAATTATAATCTTTAAATGGAAAAAAAGATTACAATCTCACATCCATATTTATCGCTATACCATCCTTCACAATTGCTTTCAAGTGGTATGTCAGTCGAAAAGAGTAAAGTAGCCAAAGGGCCATTATTTCTTGCAATAACACAGAGCCATCAATAACTGACATGACCTTATAGTAGTGGAGGAAGCTTAAAATTAAGTGAGTATGAAATATAAACTTCCCCATGATGGACCCAGATTTCTTTTAACTTATTAGCAAATGTGATTAATAAAACTCTTTTGTGTGCTAGCTAGTAGTTTTTGGGGATTTGTTCAGAGATCTGGAACAATGGCGTTAGCTATTTATTATCTGAATGATCCAGGTTTGTTTTGCTTTGAAAAATAGAAATTATTTAATAAAAGAATCAGAATCAAAAGGCTGCATATGGAGGGGTGTATCGCCAGAAATGCCAACATACCATGACTTGGAATATCTGTAATGGCTCTCCATCTTGATTATAAATATATTGTCCTAGATGCACACCATCTTCCTGATACTCATCTTCAAGACCCTGATGAAAGAAAAGGGGTTAAAGTTTCTCTTAGGTCTTGCTAAGGAAGATGTGAATGTAAGATTCCATTTTAATTTAATCTTTTCACAGAAGTAGCCAAGTTTGCCTATTTCAGTAACAATAAAAAAGTGTCCGAAGACATGGATGGTAACTCATAAACATTTGTGTCACAATGAAGCAAAATAGGTAATCTCAAAGAAGCAAAAATACTTTTCTGTTTTAAGGTTTTGTTTTTTTAAAAAAACATCTTGGCAATGAAACAACAGAGACAATAGATAGTATGAGAAGGGAGTGATTACAAACACACCCACTAGTATTTTGAGGAGAAGTGAAGTATCCATTTAATGCTTGGCTTTTACAAAGACTGCATCAAAGCCTCAGGACAACTGTGATGTAATACTAAGAATGGCCGTGCACTAGACAAGCTTATAATGAAGAGTTACATCTTAATTTTCCAGTTCTACTTCAACACAAAATTAACAAGGTTAAAAGTTCAACTTCCTATTTTCTATGTTTTGTTAAAAGATATTTTGTGGTACATCTTCGGGTACACAGTAGGGCCTTTAAAAAGATATCTTAGATACATTTCCCAAGGGAAGAGGTCTGAAGCAGGACTGTCTGGGATAGCTTATATAACAAGGCAATACACTGCAGTATTTAGAAAATCTTTTGCCATCGTTTTTCCACCTAAAACAATGGCAGACGAATACAAACAAAACACTTTCCCTTTTTTTTTGGTCTCAGGTTTAAACTTACATATACTGAGAAGTCCTTTGGTGCACTGGTAATATTGCCGGTTGGTGACAGTGTTTTTGGTATGTGTTCCAGGGTGAAAGCTGTAGGGTAGATCATCATAGAAAGCCTGACAACGAGATATCCCTGTGATCCTTTGAAAGCCCAGCAGTTTCCAGGGTACATATCAGGCTTAGGGAGAGAAAGAAAAGTTATGAATGGCAGAATCTGGACACTACATTGTGTACTGCAGAATTAGAATGTATCGGTGACTGCATTTTAAAATTTTTTCACAGTAATGCATTTAATCCCCTTCATGGATTGCTGCCTTGTCTTGGCGAAGGGGCTTGAGTAATTCAGAGAAGCTATGGGCTATGCTGTGAAGGCACACCCAAGATGGACAGGTCATAGTGGAGAGTTCTGACTAAACATGATCCACCTGGAGCAGGAACTGGCAAGCCACTCCAGTATCTTTGCCAAGAAAATTCCATGAACAGAAACAAAAGACTAAAACATATGATGCTGGAAGATGATGAGCCCCTCAAGTTGGAAGTCGTCCACATGCAACTGAGGAAGAGTGGAGGACAAGGACAAGCAGCTTCAGAGCTAATGAAGTGGCTGGGCCAAAGCCGAAAGGATGCTCAGCTGGTGATGCGCCTGAAAATGAAAGGAAAGTTCGATGCTGCAAAGAAAAATACTGCATAGGAACCTGGAATGTAAGATCTATGAACCTTGGTAAGCTGGGTGTGGTCAAATAGGAGATGGCAAGAATAAACATTGACATCCTGGGCGTCAGTGAACTTAAAATGGACGGGAATGGGTGAATTCAATTCAGACGATTACCATAGAAAAGGAATCCCAAAGAAAAGGAATTGCAAGAAAGCAAAGTGGATGTCCAACGAGGCCTTACAAATAGCAGAGAAGAGAAGGGAAACAAAATGCAAGGGAGACAGGAAAAGTTACAGAAAATTGAATGCAGACTTCGAAAGAATAGTAAGGAGAGACAAGAGGGTCTTCTTAAATGAACAGTGCAAAGATATAGGGAAAAGAACAGAAAGGGAAAAACGAGAGACCTGTTCAAGAAAATTGGAGATATGAAAGGAACATTTTCTGCAAAGATGGACATGGTAAAGGACAAAAATGGTAGGGACCTCACAGAAGCAGAAGACATCAAGAAGAGGTGGCAAGAATACACAGAGGAATTATACCAGAAAGATCTGGATATCCCGGACAACCCAGACAATGTAGTTGCTGACCTTGAGCCAGACATCCTGGAGAGTGAAGTCAAGTGGGCCTTAGAAAGCCTGGCTAACAACAAGGCCAGTGGAGGTGATGGCATTCCAGTTGAACTATTTAAAATCTTGAAAGATGATGCTGTTAAGGTGCTACATTCAATATGCCAGCAAGTTTGGAAAACTCAACAGTGGCCAGAGGATTGGAAAAGATCAGTCTACATCCCAATCCCAAAGAAAGGCAGTGCCAAAGAATGCTACAACTACCGTACAATTGCACTCATTTAGCACGCTAGCAAGGTTATGCTCAAAATCCTCCAAGGTAGGCTTCAGCAGTATGTGGACCGAGAACTCCCAGAAGTACAAGCTGGATGCCGAAGAGGCAGAGGAACTCGAGACCAAATTGCTAACTTGCGCTGGATTATGGAGAAAGCCAGAGAGTTCCAGAAAAATATCTACTTCTGCTTCATTGACTATGCGAAAGCCTTTGACTGTGTGGACCACAGCAAACTATGGCAAGTCCTTAAAGAAATGGGAGTGCCTGACCACCTTATCCATCTCCTGAGAAACCTATATGTGGGACAGGAAGCAACAGTTAGAACTGGTCATGGAACAACTGAGTGGTTCAAAATTGGGAAAGGAGTACGACAAGGCTGTATATTCTCTCCCTGCTTATTCAACTTATATGCAGAATACATCATGCGGAAGGCTGGACTGGAAGAAACCCAAGCCGGAATTAAGATTGCCGGAAGAAATATCAACAACCTCCGATATGCAGATGATACCACTCTGATGGCAGAAAGTGAGGAGGAATTAAAGAACCTTGTAATGAGAGTGAAAGAGGAGAGTGCAAAAAACGGTCTGAAACTCAACATCAAAAAAACTAAGATCATGGCCACTGGCCCCATCACCTCCTGGGAAATAGAAGGGGAAGATATGGAGGCAGTGTCAAATTTTATCTTCCTGGGCTCCATGATCACTGCAGATGGAGACAGCAGCCCAGAAATTAAAAGGCGCCTTCTTCTTGGGAGGAAAGCGATGACAAATCTGGACAGCATCGTGAAAAGCAGAGAC